CCCCAAAACCCCAAAACCCCAAAACCCCAAAACCCCAAAACCCCTATGCTCAAAACCGAAATTGAAGGCCCGACCACTGCAATATTTAATTTGTAACTGTAAACAATGTACATATTATAATCTTCACCTTTACCGTTCTACATCCTTTTGGGCTTAAAGGGGTTGGATGGCTTATATGTCCAACCTGTCTTCATTCTGATACTCTCAGCTTCAGAGTTTATCTGAAAGCTTTTGCGTTCGCTTGCCAGCATTTTAGTTTCTTCACTCATTACTAATGATGTTTGAAGAGAATTTAGGAAAAAGTAGTCATATCTCATTCAGACTTGATACTCCTTTCTTCCTTTAACAATTATATCCTTTTCATACTCTTTAGCTTCTTCAAAAAGCTTGTCTTCTTCAAAGAAGTTGGTAATAGCAATATTTGACTCTAAAGACTCTTTTTTATCTGAAAATCCTAATCTTCTGATGACACATCCAGCCTTTGATTTCATTATAGAAATTTGCTCCTCAGAGTAATATGGGAAACTGTACCCAGGCTCGTTCTGCTTGTAGTCCTCTTGTTTCTCCTCCTCTGTTGCCTTTTCGATAAGGTGACTAACCAGGGTATCCTCCAGATTCGAGCCTAACAAAAATTTGAAAACGCTATTAAGGACTCTTTTCGGTTTGTCGATAAGATCTTCATGTCTCACTATGAGTGTAGGGATGGTGGGTTCGAGCATCCAATAATCGTGGAATTCTCTCCAAACGCTAATTTCTTGGTCGACAAATTTCTCCCAGCTTTCTTTGTACTCTTCCATTTCAATTGGAGAAATCTTTCTGCTCAAGTCTTTATTAATTAATCTGTTAAAGTGAGAATAGATAGCATCACATGGATTCCTAACTACAACGATAGCTTTATTGATGTCAATTCGTGCATCCCCAATTTGCTCAGGGAAACTAGTCTGGACTAGCCAGACTTTTTTGTTTGAAATACCTTCTCCATTAAGTCTACCAACATGTTTCAGTCTTTTATTATGGCTTTTGTGACATCCATCTGATCCTGTAAGGATACAGGTGATATTCTCGATGTATTTCCTCAACAGAGTACTCCCTGAAGATTGATAACTAGGAATAGCTACTTTCTCAAAAACATTCTTGGACAAGAATTTAGGGCTATTCAGGAATTTGGGAGCTTCTTTAGATTCTTGGAGATAAGTCTCATAGGTTGGTTGATCTCTTCCACGGTAAGCTTTAGTGTTTCTATTTCTTTTGGTAGTGTTATCCTTCAGTTTCGAAGCTCTTTTACTTGTCTTTTCTCTTGAATCTCTTCCATGTTCGGTTTTTACTTCTTCTGATCTCTCATTAGTCTATAATAAAAGTAAAAACAGATTAAAAAAAGCCAAACAGATAAGAATTAACTGAAAGCCAGAGAAACTTAGAGAGACTAATTGACTTTGCCAAAGATTGGGAGAAATTAATAAATTGTAAATCTACCTCCACGAAGTGATCTCAAATCAACTCAGAAGCCAAAAAATCGCAGCTGGAGTCTGACAACTCAGTACAATTTGTTTTTAAATCCATTTAATTTTAGTTGGTTCATCAAAAATTGGTTCCTTTTACGGGGTTTTGGGGTTTTGGGGTTTTGGGGTTTTGGGGTTTTGGGGTTTTGGGG